TATATATAATTTTATTGAGAAACAATTAGCAATGAGAGAGTTTCGAAACTGATTAATAGAACAGTTTGAATAACTAATACATTGTACATTATTATCTTCCTAGTGGTTGTCCATAGTACAAGATGCAGACAGGATATCCTGTCCAAACACTAATAGTACAAATATTTCTTCTCATTGAATTAAGTGAAAGTAGCTGTATATCTATCCTAACTATTCTGTATATACTGATACAAAATGGTCCTTCCGTTGTATCCTTTTTTCTTTTGTTTATTCCTGTCAGAGCTTGGTATTCCATTGGCATCTAAATACTGCAAGTGTATAAATTCAGCAAAACAATCCAACACAGTCCAACAGTCAACAATAGTAGTGGGTTATCTGCAGAAGTTGTTGACTTGATCCTTTCACAGCTGAGCATATTAATATGACTTTACTTTATATATCTCATTTTTATACTTTTCTGCTGGATGGTTAAGACCAAAATAAAGCAAGACTTATATAACAAATCTGACTTTTGTGTATGATAAGGTCAGCCAAGTACCCTCAGGATTTATTCTGTAACCTTGTACTGCAGTTCACGAATCTGTTGTCAGTGTCAGCCATGTGGATGAATCACAGCCATTGCTTGACCAATTTGCTCTCTGTGGAAGCCTGAGAGAATGTTTTATCTCCAAGAGTCTCTCCTTAGGCACACTCTAAAATATCGATCACATTGCTCTGTGGCCCCAAATCTCCTTAATCAGAAAATGTGGGACACAACTGAGTTACATGATGTTATAGTAATAGGTTCTTCTGTGTCCTGAATCATCACTGATCTTGAAAGGCTACAGTCAAAATGTTGGCTGTCCTGGCAGCCCTTCTATTTCTCTAATTCTTGGTTTGCAAATGTAAGTTTTTAACCCTCCAGAAGAGAAGCTTTGTATTACCCTACAACATATGCAGTTGGGTTTAACCTTTGTCTTAATATCAAACATCTTATGCATAACATGTAATAGGTATTTTCCATCAAGTATTGATATGTTAAAGTTTAAGTTCCTACAGAATATGGAGAAAGAAATTTAAAAAACTGAAAAATATTTAAAGAATATGAATAAACAATTACATATTTTTATGCAGAAACTTAGAAATCTAACCATATACAGCATTGTAGCAGTCCTTTGTTTTTTTTCCCTTGTGCCTTTTTCATTTATTACCCTTTTTTAAAAAAAAAACAAGGAAACAAACAAACATTTATTTGAGAGACAATATGGTAATAATTGCTATGTCATGACAAGAAGTACATATTTAGAAGACCAGAATGACAGGCATTTGTATCATAACCCTTCTAGTACACATTGCTATCTTCAATGCAGTTTCTGGGTTCACAGGTATCAGCATGTATAATCAGGGTGAGAACCCTACCAATTAACTTCTAGCTTAAAAAACCTGCTAATGTTTCTCAGGATCATTACCTTACCCATCCTGTGAATATAAATGTATGGCTTTGCCCCTGTCCTGTATCCCAGCTTTTCTCCTTGCCCTCTGGGTTGAAAAAGATGTAGTATTTTTATACGATGGGGTATTACTCAGCTATAGAGAATGATAAACTTGAAACATATATTTAAGTGGATTTCACTTGAAGATATGCTCATAAGTGAAATACACCAGACGCACATGTGTAAATACCATATAGTCTCCCTAGTATAAGTACTCAAAAGAAGAAATAAAAATAGAAATGTATAACACAATTAAAAGGAAAGTGAAAACTTGAGGAAAGTCCAGTTCTTTTTGAGGCTTTTATTTCTTATCATGGAGAAAAACAGCATGAAAATTACAAAGGGCAAACTGCTGTTGTGGCCTTCCTCTGTAATTCCTAACAACCTGGTTATTATGAGGCATTTAGTTATGTCTCTCTCTCTCTCTCTTTTTTTTTTTTTTGCTTTTCACTACTTGTATCAAGTTATAAGAAAATATCAGATAATAGTAAGTAATGTGCAGTAATTTAAAACAGAGTAATGAGGGAGTGACTGCAAAGCCCATTCGCTTGGGTGGTCAGAGAGAGGTTTTCTGCGGGTGATAATATTTAAGCTGAACTAAGAAGAATATATGCAGTGTATTATTTGTTGAAAAATAAAAAAAATAAAATAAAAAAATATTTAAGCTGAGACTTGAATGAAATAAAGGAAGTAGCTATGTGAACATCAGGAGAAAATGCATCACAGCACTCAATAACTGGTATAAATGATGCAAGTAATGAAAAATTGATGTGTTTAAAGATAGCAGGGCAGTATTAAAATTTCTTATTTTTTCATTGAGCTCCTGTTACACTGCTTATTGAAATTTTGGATCATTTCTTTTTTTCTATAATTTTATTGATAAACAATTAGAAATGAGACAGTTTCAAATCAAATTGGTAGGACAATTTCAATAAAAAACACATTGTATACATTCCTCCCAGTGGTTAATTGCTGTACAAGATGTGGACATGATATCCTATATACAAACACCATTAGAATATATCACTCTATTCATTAAGCGAATGTAACTCTGTATCTATCCTTACCACTTTGAATACACAGACACTAAATGGACATTCATCTGTATACCCTTTTTTGTCAAGTTCCATTATTTGAATATTATAGGTGTGTTAACATAGCAAAGTTATCTAAAAGAGTTCAGTAGTCCATAATAGTATTGGGTCTTCCGCTACACTGACAATGTCAGAAACTGTTGACCTGAGTCCCCCACAGCTCAACATAACAGCATGGATTTAATTCTTATATTTAGTTTTTATAGTTTTCTGCTGGGTGGATAAGACCAAGGTAAAGCAGGACATATGCAACAAGAGTTGCAACTTTTGGGTCTGATAATTTCAGTGAAATCCCCTCAGGATTTATCCTGAGATCCTGTACCTCAGACTGTTTCACAGTGTAAGCCATGTGGATGAGTCATGGCCATTACTTGGCCAATGTGCTCTCTGTAAAAGCCTGAGAGAATGTCTTCTCCCCATGTGACTCTCCTTAGGCACACTCTACATCATCGATCACTTTCCTCTTTGGCCCCATAATCTTCTTGATCAGAAAATTTGGAACACTACAGAGTTACATGACGTTACAGTACAAGTTCTCATATGTCCTGAGTCTTCATTGACCTTAGAAGGCTAGGTCCAAATTGTTGGCTTTCCTTGCAGCCCTCCTTTTCATCTAATTTTGGTCTGGAAACTTAGGTTGTTAACCATCCAGAAGACAAGCTTATTGTTATTACCATACAACTTGGGCTGTTAAGCTTAACCTCACTGTCTGTCTGCTTATCAAACATCTTAGGCATAGTATGGAACAGGTATTTTTCATCAAGTATTGATATGTTGAACTTTAAGTCCCTACAGAATATGATAAAAACATTTAAAAATTAGAATATATTTTAAAAATAGGCATTAAGAATTATACACTTCTTATGTTTACACATCAGTCCATAAAGCTCACCATATACTACCTTGAAGTAGGACAGTTCCACAATATTCCTTTTCCTGTCTTTTGCTTTCATTCACCACCCCCTGCTTTTTGAACAACCATCTACCTGAGAGACATCATAGCAGCAACTGGAATGTGAAGACAAGCAGCCCGTATTCAGAAGACCAGAATGACAGGCACTCCAAGCATGAAACTACTATTAGAGATTACCTTCTGCAGTGCAGTTGCTTAGTTCACAGGTATCAGTATATAGAGTTAGTTGGGGTGATAATCTTTCCAATCAACTCCTAGATTAAAAAAATCTTCTGGAGATGCTCAGGATCATTGCCTTGCCATTCTTTTACATATAAATTTATGTCTTGACATTGTCATCTTTCCTAACTGTTTTTCTTTCCCTCTCTTCATTAGTTTGTCCTCGAGATCCTGCTATTCTTTTACTTGTGTTATACTTTTCCATTTGGATTTATTCTTTTGAGTTCTTATACTAGGGAGACTATA